CGGGCCCCGGCCCACGGCCACCAAGACCTGCCTGCGGGCAGGTGGGGCCAGAGCGCTGGAGTCTGGCAGCAGGATGGGCCCAAGGGGGCCAGGACAAGGGAGATGGCGTGGCCACGTCCCCAGGGCGGTGGAGGTCTCTGTGGGGGGGGCGCCTTGCAGCACGGTGCCCGCTGAGCATCATCACCGGCACCCTCAAGGGAGGTGCTCCTGGGGCCCCCCTTTCCCCTCTCCCTCCGCTTTCTTCCTCCCTGGAGGAGCAGGCCCGGCCTCAAGGTGAGGCCCAGAGCTGGGGTGTGCATGGGCAGACCCCCCTCCCCCCCGCAGGGAGCCTCCAGGGCTCGAGCCTCCTTCCACAGGCCCAACACAGCCTCGGGTCTGGCCCAGGGCCACGCGAGGGGCTCCCGAGTGGGACAAGCTGGCAGCACTTCGTGGCGTCCTCAGAGCGAGTGTCGGTCGAGGCCTGCGAGGCGAGAGCGCGCGAGGCCGTGACCCACCGCAGCGCCAGGGCCAGCGTGGACCCCCCATGTCACTGCCCGCCATCCCACAGGGGCACAGGGATACGAGGGCTCTGGCTCCGTCCTGGGACAGCCATCATCCCGACATCAGGAGCCTTCTCGCGGCCAGGACCAGGGGAGCAAGGGGAAAGTAGAGGGAAAGGCGGGGGTTGAGGAGTGGGATGTGGTAACAGCCCCTCAGTCCCCTTCTGCAGGGGAGGTGCCAGAGTGGCACGAGTAGGGGTCTGACCCCACTGTACTGAGCCCCACAGGGATGGCACCGGCGGGGCTAGATGTCAGGGAAACTTTGATTTGAGGCTTCATTTTGGGCTGCTCTGTGTCCCAGCCCAAAAGCCCAGAGCCCTGCTCTGCCCTGGAGGCCGGCGGTGCCAGGGGCCGAGCCCAGCACTGCCCCACAGCTCCATCGGCAGCTCGGGGAGCGCCCTATGGCGCGGCGAGGTGCCCATGGGGAGGGCGTGGGCGCGCTGCGGCCCGGAGCGGTGCCTACCTGAAGTGGAGAGAAATGGAGGGTGCAAATGGAGAAAGATGGAGCGCCGTGGGCTAAGAGTTTAGAGCATCAATACCTGCGGGCGTGAGCACAAGGGCCTGGAGGATGTCGGAGAGGGAGACGATGCCCCGCGGGTACCGGTTCTCATCCACCAGCACCAGGCGATGGACCTGCAGGAGCAGCCAGAGCATCAGAGTGGAGTGAGGGCGGCAGGATGGAGCTGGCGGGATGGGGCCGGGACTGGCGTGCAGGACAGATGCTCCCGTGCCGCTCACCTGCTCCTTGGCGATGCGGTCGATGATGTCCTCCATGGTTTCGTGGGGGTAGCAGATAAGGACCCCCTCAAGGCAGATGGTCCGTCGCCGCAGCGCCTCCCGCACGCTGATGTCCAGGTTGTTGTAGGTCTTCTGGGCTGCCAGGTGCTGCCGGAGAGGAGGCTGCAGTCAGCGCCACACAACAGGCACTGCCCTGGCACCGAGCTGGGCATGAGGAGGGCTACACGTGGGGCAGATGCACAAGGACACATGGTGTCTCTGCATGTGGGACTGACGTGCACAGTACAGGCACCTGCGGACTGCGAGCACCCTGGGCAGATGCACGTGAAGGGCTGTCCACGCACACCCATCACTGCCATGCCCCTGCTTGTGCTGCCACACACATGCAAGCATGTGATACTCACAATGACATCAAACCTTGAGTAGAGGCCCACCACTTGCCCTGCAAAGACATGCAGAGCATGGGATCAGGGGTTCAGGGGGGTCCCCTGGATAATATGCTCCTTCCAGAGCCCTGGGACAGCAGAGGAGGGGAGCTGGGGGCTGCTGGACATGGGATGGGAAGGGAGGGTTTACTGGTGACGATGGGGCAGGAGCCCCTGGCAGGAGGAGAAGGGGATGGTCGGGCCCCTCAGCAGCCCCCTCCCCAGTTACCTGCATCATTGACAACGGGCAGCGCGGAGACGCGGCGGTCCACAAAGATCTCCAGCGCCGTGTAGATGGGCGCGGACTCGGGCACGACGGCCACGTCGCGGAAGGTGCCCACGCACAGCTCCTGCACCGTCTTCTTGAGGAAGCGTGGCTTGG